TTGCAAAAGCAGACATCACGAAGTGTACGGAATGGTTAGAAGCTAAGGAGGAAGGACAAGAAAAAGGAAGGATGTGATGGGAGTGTACCGATGGATCCGAGGAACAAGTCACACAAGCAATGAGAGACGGACCTGACGGGTCCGATCAGTAAATGCTGATTGTTTGATGTTTGTGTGTGCCACGGTGAGTTCCTCGTCGTTTATTTAAATGTGTCAAAGTAGAAATTTCGACGGCCCAGTAAGGTAGTTGTTCATAGAGGTGGACGGACAATATATTTCGAGACGTACGGGGTGTTAAGCGTGCTGTACTTTTAGCTGACTTGTCCTGATGAATAAACATTTATCAATGGAGGACCAAACTTCGGGACATTAACTGGGTAAACAATGTTTGGCCTTAAGCCAAACGAAATAGGGTACATTAGTGCTGACAAACATTGGCAGCCACACGAAGCTATTGTAACGGTTAATGCTGCCATCAGACATATGCGGTTCTCTGGCATGTAGTGTAGTGCATGCGATCCGCCGACTTTTCACACAGTCGAATAATGAAAACCGGAAAGAGCTCGTAGTGTCCGATTTGAAGTGTATAGTACACATTACGCATCGAGCGTCAAGTGGTGAACTATTGGAACAACATTTCAGTTCGCTTGGTGAACGACCGGTTAATGTATTTGTCGGGCTCACGAGGTTTCGCTTTTGACACAAAATCGAAACATTAACCGATCGTTCACCACCCCTCTGAAATAATGACTTACCGATCGGGCGCAAACATATTCAAGATATCGAAGTATTGGAAAAATTGACCAGAGACAACATTCGAGACAAAATGGAAATTCAACAGATTCCTAGACGTGTACTTAGGGGATTACAGATTTCCAGAAAACATCGCATGTGAATAGGATGTCGCACAACTGAAAAAGGTTGAAAATGCGCGGCAATAGATGACATCATACTACGAGTGTGCCGGATAATGTTTCGATGGAGCTACATGGTTGACCGCATCCGGTTTTGGATTTGCCTGTCCCTGTGGCCAGCCACAGGACGCCTGCGCCTACAGAGGGACCACGGGTGGCTTGCGCTGCACCACCCACAGCTCCAACCACACACTCCATATCCAGTGTAAACCCGAAGGAATAAGACCGGGAGGCATGTGGATGGGAGCCACGTTTCATCAACGGAGCCGGCCCACACTCCTTCACAGGCAAACACATGCACGCTGTATCTGGGAATCAATCGCATACAAGGCGGTGGTTGGACCGTAGTCCGCTCCATACTGAGTGCATGAAACCACTCTTCGAGTCTAACACGGCCACAAGGACCGTGCACCCCGTCCCCTCCAGCAACGACCAACTGTCTCCTGGAGGCAGTATGAACAATATAGTCGGTAATAAACAGGGAGGCACCTTGTCAACATACACATCAAGCGCAACCGCATCGGGTATATCAGGCAATAGCCATTCACTTGAAACGACAAGCTGAAAAAAATAAATCCAATAATGCATACAGATACGGTGGCATAACTCTTCGCTAAATTACCATAGAAAGTAAATTGGTTAGCAACGAGTCCGCGATAAGTAAGAAATGTCCACAAATTACTCAGAAATACTACAAACGCAACAAAATTGCCCAAGATAAGCGTAATTAGTGTAAGCAACGTGGCCAGTTAATAGAACATTATTCAGGGAGGCAGAACAAACCAAATAAAGTGGAATGAAATTTATCCAGCTTAAAAGGACCTAGTTTAAGTGTAAGTTGGTTTAGCCCAACTGCGGTGAAGAAGCATCAAGAATGCAACATCAGCCTCAGCATGGGACACAATGGAGCTACACATAAAGGTATATCTATTAGCTCTTTAATTTCAGTATTCGGAATCTCCTTTACAGTATGGAAAAGCAAGGATTAGTCAGTGCAATGCTAATGTGATGTAGGAGATAAGAATGAGCGTAATGTCCATTATAGAAGGAGTTGGAGCCCAGAAGAAAGCAAAACAATCATACACCAGTGACATACATACCAAAATCCTAGTGTTTAGCAAGAGTATTCTGACGGGTAACCATAAGTAAACTTACAGTGGATCGCTCGATCTGAAAGAAAGCGGTGTTGGCTGTCGCTTTGGTAATTGCCAAAATGGGCCTGAAAAGTGATAAAGGGAATTTTAGAAGGATAACAATGAAGTGGCGCACATTAGGAGTTCAGATATAAAAACCCTACATGAGAGATGCAGAGATGAGAATCAAAGAAAAAAGAAGCACGAAAATGCGAGTCCAGTGAAAAGGGAACGCAAGAAACGTGGAGGTACTCAGTCTATTGAGAAACTGATCTAAGTTTAGACCGAGTCTATGGAGAACAGAGGCAAATGAGGATGTGAAAAAGACCATGCGAACAGAGGATGCTGGAGGTTAATATATATAGAGAGAGACGGGGGACGCAAGTTTCAAGTCACACAAGTGTGCTAGTACAAGAAAATAGCCACAGGACTTGGAGAGAAGCAACAATAGCGAGCTAATATTCGCCCAGATTCACAGTAAAAAACGATTATGTGCGAGAAAGATAGGCTGCTGATGGGGGGACTGTTGTCAGCGCATATATAGGAAAACTGACTGACACTGTCTGTGTAACGCACAGTTAAATGGAAATAAGCTCATCTCCGGCATTCTGATTCCGGTAGTTGACCTGTCTAGATATTTACCACAATAGCAACAATGTTAACAATGTGTATATTTTTCTCGAAGTTCCGATAAGACGTGCTCATAGGGTGCATACCAGATTTTACAGGAATTTGCAAATGATAATTTGAAGATTAATTTACAGTCATATTGCAAACAGTTCGGCTGACGAAATCGATAAGAAGAGAAAGCTGTTGGAGTTAATTGGAGTGACCACAACTTTGAACGACAAGTTGAAAGCTTCGGACCTTGGGTTTAGTGGGCGTTATGTTGAAGGTATCCCATAAGGAAGAAGAGGAAAACTGGTAAGAGAATGTGTTTATAACAGTGAAATTACACTAAAGATTACATTAACAGATAAAAAAGGTCTAGATTACCAACAAGAGTCAATAAATGAATGGTCCAACATAAGATATAATTTAGCAGAGATTTTAGAAACGAAGGTAGCACTGCGGTGCACTGTAACTTCAGAGAAGGAGTGAAATTGATATACAGGTTAGATTATTTAGACCCAACGCAAATGGAGGCTAGGTAGTGACGCTCAGCATTTATGTATGCGCGTATTCCTCAATCAAAAGTTGCGTTCAGTGAAAAATGAGATCATTGGAGGAGAGGACGGAAAGCTGAACCGGGTAAAAATCGAAGTGGGCTGAAATGAGGCAATTAAGTGGGAAAAAAGCAAGGGTAAGTATTTTTGTCTACTCTATCGAGGTACCTTTGTTCCCCGTCCTCAGTATCATAAAGAAGAATAGAAAAGCAACTTTCAGTGCCGTCGTAATGAACATGGACATCCAGACGAGTAAAGGTAAGCGAAAGGAAGAAAATTGCGGTTCATGAACGAAGTGAGCAGTGAGGAAATCAATTCAAAGCTGTGTAGCTATCAACAAGTACACACCGCGTGGCACAGGATCACAGGACCTTTTCTTTTAGGTCCTCATGGGAGATGTTAGCCACATCCAATCATTTGTTGGTCATTCTTTAAAATCTTTAAAAACCGAAAAAACCGCGTGAGCAATGAGCGTGTTCGGCATCTAGTGTTTGCTACAGGAAGTGCGAGTGAAGTGCTCAGCACTATTATTTCACACACCAGGCTTCGATGGCTGGGACACGTGTTGCACACGTAAGCGCACCGACTCCCACATGCGTTAATTGCACGACCCGGGTATGGATGAAGGAAAATGTGAAGAGGCAAAGCGATGACCTGGTCAAGAGCAATGAAGACCCTCACTTCGAACTTGGCGTCGGTTGGTGTCTCGCGACCGCCGGATTGGGGTCCAAAAGACGAGCAACACGTTTTGTTGACACGGCGAAGAGCTGGCCTTAATGACGTTTGTGTTGTAAGCTTCTTCGTCTTTCTTCCCTCCCGCTTATCTTCTTTTCCAACCACATTCCCACGCGCGATGCGTAAGTTGACACTAAGCATCCTGTTACTTTGGTAGCCTTCATATTGGAAGGGAGAGTAAAATCTCCCAGGAAAACTCAATATTTCAATGGGAAAACGATTTGAACGAATTGCGTGCAACAGAAACATCAAGACATTTCAGGAATGCTCGCAACAGGAACATTCACGTCTACATGACGCACGTATCTACCTCCCCCCATTGGCTAGCGGGACCGATCTACCAATCAGGACTGCTGACCAAACTGTTATCATACACGTATCTTCTTTGGCTGCCTTTTAAATGCCCGTTGATTTCACACTACTTGTATCCGTTCGGTAGCTAGCTCCGCAATACGCTTTTGCCTATAAGCGTTGTCGTCTGATTTCCGGGTGGAATTCGGAGCTAGCAGAGAACGATTTCAGTTCAGCCGGGATCGCGCACAGAGGTATCGTGTGACCAGGATGTGTCTAACGATTGTCATGGATGCACCGTAAATTGCCGCACATAGCGCGCCCTGAGAGAACTCCGAGGAATTCTAACGGCAGTCCGGAGATCCCATCGGATCTCACACGATGCACGACGCACAAAAGCGCGGCGTCTGCCTACCACAACTTGCATGAAGCTTCACGTAATGAGGCGCAGACTAGGGATACTTGAATAATCGATACATTCTGGTCAACGTTTGAGGACAGAGTGTTTCGCGGAAAAGTGGATGCATGCGGGCTCAGTACTGGCCGATGTTTAGCCGTAGCACTGAAGTTAGCGTTACGTACAGGGTCTACTGTGGTAAAAAAATGTACATCGCGTCTTCGGAAGAACGTACACATGAGCAATAAGTTTTCGATACGCCTCTAGTTGTATTAAAGGTAATGTTAAAACACAGTTATGGTGAGCACGCCGGTAGACTGAAAACTAGCTTCCAAAGAAGCACTGAAAGAAAAAAGCAGCACTTTCAACTAGACCTTTCACATTAGGAATAATAACGATTTGGTAGAGGAGTATTTTCTCTCTTTTAGTATTTTGCTTTCCTGTTAAGTGAGGCGTTCTATCTGGAATTTCTTTTTCATAAATAACCTACGATAGTTAGAGATTAGCCAGTTGTTTCAGTTAAGTTTAGTGCAGTTGATAAAACATGATCCGGGCACCAAAGCACCGTGGATGCAGTTGCCACGACTTGCGTCATCAGAGTGGCAATAATGAAGAATGATAAGTAAATGTGGTTAGACTTAAATACGATATTAGCAGAATGGAAGCAAGAATGAGGTGCATGAAGCTAATGGCATTGAAGTATGAACAGCTAAACGCAAGAGAACGAATCCGGGGTAGCACTGACTAAGACAATGCGCCACGTTTGATAGAGTCTCTAACCACTGGCTTGGACTAGCAAGAGGCCCCCATCTACGATTAAGTCTCTCGGTCAATTTCTTCATACCCCTATGCCACGTCATCGATTGGACACCTCGTGGTTTCGTCCAACGTGGTGCAGTGACGGCGTATAATGCTCGCCGAGGAAGGAGATTAACTGGTGTACGGAGTATCAACGTTAGAGATACAACTTCAACAGACACTGGAGTGAGGCACCGGAGAGTCTCTTGCAAAAAACCAACTGGTAGACCTCAGCATTGCTCACCCTGTGTTCCCAACAGATGCGTGCAAAAATGCGTGAGAACCGGTGATCAAAGACGGCCAACCGTTTGATGTCTTTCGTACGAACTGGACGAGTCTCAGATGCATACAGTAGCACTGGCCATGACGCAGTTGTTCCCAGAAGTATAGCTTTGTCAAACATTGAAACAGCATCCACGAACGCAATATGAATCCACATTTAAGAGCGTCTTACCACCAGGTGATCTTCCATCTTTTGTTACTCCAACGCAGGAAGTCAACCACATCACGTTTACCCCGGAAGCTGTCCTGCAAAAGCTTACGCCTCTGTTTAACCACAGCCAACTTTCTCCTACAACGGCAGCTGGTGGCTAGAGTTCGAAAGTTGTTATCAGACCCCATACATGTTGAAGGTGGTATGCTCCGGGGCTCTGTACTAGGGCAACAATTGTTTTTGGTATTTGTCAAAGACCTGGCACAGACGATGGGTTCAAGTTTTCTAATGTTAGCTGACGACACCAAGATATAGCGCAAGATTCAGTCGGACGTCGATCTGGATATGCTACAGAATGACTTGGACATGGTATGGCAGTGGCAAAACGAAAAGTTGCGGAGTTCCGACGTGAACAAATGCAGGGCACTCTCCATACAACACCAGAGTACTGGTTTACTGGTTGGAAGCAGCAAGTAGAGGTTTCTCTGTGTAGCTGCATCTAATGTCACTCAGAGACAAAGACCCGTTATGTTGTGGTGCGCTCAATATATTTTTTGTCGGCAAAGTGTTTGTCAAGGAACTTCTTAAATTCCGACACCGACTTTGCCTCAACTACGTGCTGCAGCAGGTCGTTCCATACATTCACCACTCTGCATTCGAAACAGAGTTGGTGAGCGACCCGCTTCAAATCCGGTACAACAAGCTTGTACCGGTGTCCTCGTGTGCTGCTTGGTGTGCGTAGATGAAGCAGCGGTCTCAACATGGGGTAATCTCCCAGATGTAATATCCGGTGCGTCATGATGATGTCAACACGCATTCGAAGATAAGCTACGGTGTACAGCCCTAGTTTCTTACACCGGTCATCGTACGGCACACCTCGTAAGTTGGGAATCAGCCTGGTGGCAACATGCCGCACTCGATCAATCTTTTCTACCTTGCCCCGGGTGATAGGACAATAAGCAAGAAAGGCATACTCTAGCATTGGTCGTATAATTGAGACGAAGAGGCGAGTGGCAATCTCTTCGGACCAAGTGCTGATGCGGCGCCTGAGCGCCCAAAGCATGCGATGGCTGTTTTGGTAAAGCCTATTCGTGTTGTCCATGGACTTTAGGTCGTAGCGTGAGAGTACACCGAGGTCTCGCACGAAAGCCCCGGGATGCAATGGTTGACCGGCCTCCGTGTAGTTCGACTGTGCTTACACTTACCGGGTTGATCGGAAGGTTGACCTCTGCAGACCACATGGAGAGGCGGTTGAGGTCTTGCTGA